ACGCCAGAATGTGGGTATTATTAGGGCCCACACTCCCTCTGGAGGGGTTTGTCGCACCTGAATGCCCCTAGGCCTGCCACTGGGTGTATTACGGGCCCTAATCCCCTCCCGGCACAACTGAGGACAACAATGAAATATGATGCAATCTTATGACCAAAATATTTCGCGTTGAAACGCGCGGTGATGGACTACACTATTATACTGATACGTTTATGATAATAAACTTATTATGAAACTATTGTGCAATACATAAAAATACTATACAAAAAGGATGATGCAATAAAAAGAGAAACAAAAGGAAGAGAAGAGAAATGGTCAGCATCTAAAGTCAAAACATAAGCAAAGGGAGGTACCGGTAGAATGGCGTGTCGATGGTATAACTCCAGCTGGTGGCATTGTTGTTCCTTGGCTCGGCTGAAGTTGACACGGCTTGAAATCCTGGCACCGCTGACGACGACAGAAGCGGGGAATCCACAACCGGCTGACGAGCTGCTGGACTGACGACCGAATCGACTGATGGACTGTGTCGACTCACGGACTGACGTCGAAGAAGCAGAATGAAGAAGGAAGAATGATGAAATACTGCCAGCGCGGCGGGGTCAATAACTTTGCCGCACTTCCCGAAGCTTCTGCCATTTGAACGTGCTGCGTCGCGGTTCGGCATTGGAGCACGGTATTCTCCGGCGGGGCTCACGGTCGCACGTAAGTCGCGACACTCCGGGGCCAGACAAATTGCGACTGCTGGAGCGGCGATGGAACGGCTGACGACGTGCGACAATGCGTGTGGCGGCTGTTGACGACTGGCTTCTGCCTGACTGAGAGCTGACCAAGAGAGGAGAGAAAAGGATAGAAACAAATATCAAATACATACACACAAATATATATAGTATAGAGATCGAGTAAATATATAGGTAGATATGGATGTGAGCTTCATGAGTAAGGTAGGTAGATAAAAAACCGGTATGAGCTGAGGATATAAAAAGAGGTTACATAGTAAATGAGCGAAATACAAAGATTAAATACAATAAAACAAGTGCAAAATGATCACAACTGACTGCATGTACGGCGTTGGTGTCGGATGGAATTGGACACGGCTGACGATATCGGCGTTGACTGTGGTTGTACGATCGTGGCTCGACTGACGATTGGCGGCAATGGCTGATATTAACTTTGACGTATTAACGGCTTGAAGGAAATTTTCCTACGAGGCGTCCTTCACGCCAAGGGTCATTACAAGTGCGAGGGAGAGATACTAAACCTCGCTGAGCCAATTCGGCAGGGGGGTGATGTTATTCCCACGAGAGTATAACGCTTAGAACGGCGATCTCTCAACGCCGGGGTATGATCTTAACCCAATCCCCACTACGGGTCGATGCAGAAAGTTGTGATGATGTCGGCGGCAAGAACTGACGTTGGCGAGAACTGAAGTCGGCACGGCTGATGTCGTGGCGCTGATGTCGATGACCAGCATCGGCAACAGCTAACGTCGTGGCGCTGATTCCGATGACCAGCATCGGTAAGCGCTGAAGTCGTGGCGTCGGTGACGACGTACTGACGGCAGGAACTGACGGCGACTCGGCTGACGGCATAGGGACTGAAGACGGCGGGGACTGACGGTGGCGAGGACTGACGGCGACTGGGACTGAGGACAACGGGGACTGAAGACGACGGGACTGACGGCAACGGGGATTGAAGATGGCGGGGACTGACGATAACGGGACTGAGGGAAGGTACTGACGATGGTGTGCTGCTGACGGCTGACGTAACAGAGACTAGCTTTGCGATCTTCGGCGGTAGTAGTCCAGGTATAACTCGTACATGTCGTTGAAGAAGGCATCGTAGTCCATGTCGAAGTCACGTTCCAAATAAAGGCTTCTGGGGCAAACTGCGGGATGATGGTATTTTGATCCACAGAATCGGCACTTAGTTTCGCGGCGGCAATAACCTGGAGCATGGAGGTAGAGACAGACAAGACATCTGCCTTCGTTGACGGCTCTCAATGCTCGGTCGCTGAGCTCGGTGACGACATTGCAGTCTGCTGAATAGTGGTTCTGCTGACGACAGAAGCAACATCTCATGGGGCGACGTTCAACGTGCACGGACTGACGACTTCCAGAGGGACTGGGGGACAGCTGACGTCGATGTGCAAGCACGGATCGACGACTGCCAGTAGAACTGGGAGACGAGGTGCGGCGATGTTCTGGCACGTACTGACGACTCTCAGACGAACTGGGCGACGGCTGACGGCGGTGTTGTGGCACGTACTGACGGCTTCCAGAAGGTCCAGGAGACGGCTGACGGCGATGTTCCGGCACAAGCTGACGACTTCCCGAAGGTCCTGGCGACAGCTGACGTTGATGTTGCTCCAATCGAACTGGGGCACGATGTTGTTGTGGGCTTCTTCGCGGACTCCTTTCCAAGCGTTCCGTGTGCTCCGGTGATGGTGTCCGGGCACTAGTCGATGGTACGGGTGTGGGTGACGTTGACGATTTCCAAATCTGCGATAACATCCGAGCGAGTGGTCTTCTTGAAGTTTCACCAGTTTGGGTGGAAGCGGCTGAGGACTTGAACGTGGTCTGGGTTGATGTTGTCACAGACGACGACAAGTCCACTGGTGAAGTGGCGGTGTCTCGGAGTGTTGCGATTTCCTCAATTTCAGTGGCCAGGGCTGACGACGACGGTGTGGTGGTAATTCCGTGAAGACGAGCAATGGCTGAATTGATCCTCTTCAGGTTAAGAGTAGTCGTAGCAGTGACTGCAGAAGCGGTGGTACAAAGCAGTTTGATGTCGGCCAACGTGATGGAATAGTAA